CTTGAATTCTGGCTTTAGTGCAGTAAGATTCTAGCATACATTCTTCTGCCTCGTCCAAAGTTTCGTTTCCTATTCGTGTTCTGTTTGTTATCTGTTCAATTTTGAACTACCAAAATGATGCGAGTACTTACCATTGGGAAACAAGCAGGAGGAATATTTCATTCGAGCGCCCAAACACAATTGCATAAAATTTGTAGTGACCTTTTTTTTTGAAAGAAAAAAAATGGAATTTCATTTACCGTTTTTTATTAACTTTTAGACTCAATAATGCTTTAAAAGCAAAAATTGCATTTATGTAATATCACCTCATAATGCTGTTCGTTAGCTTTATCAGTGTGTTCGGCAATTGGACGCTCTTTTAACTGTTTAACATACGACATCTTTCGTTGTTGATTCTTTTGTAAATCACTAGTTTTAATCTCTCTCAAACGGTCACCCAACAAGAATCTTATACCACGACGAAGAATAAAATCCGGAATTAGGCCCTGATCGAGTAATGATTCATACCATATTGAATTAGAAGAGCTCTTTCCCACTGCGGTAGTAGACATCTTTAGTCAATCGCGAATTTCAAGAACGATTCAAATTCTCAAGCCACATATATATATATTTATTTATTTATATTAGTATTAGCGAATACTCTTCATGTAGGGGAAATTTGATCTTGATTAATAGTTAGCAGAAACTGGACAAACCGAGCTGTACTGCAGGTTTTTACCCCTCAATTAAATATTGGTTTCAAAATTAAAGTATATTGTATATCATCTTATAGCGAGCGACTGTCTATGGTCCTTGAATTTTCGGTAGTAATAACTGGTATGACACAAAACAATGACTATCTAGCTTTCAATGAAATTTAATTTTAAAGCTTCATTCACGAGATAAATGAGATAAATAAAAGTTTGATTTTTTTTTTTTTTTTTAATAATCCTAAAACATTTACACAAGCGCAATATATTGCATATTAAAGTTTTAAATAAAACAAATGCTTAATTACTGTATCTAATAAAACCATTTGTTGAAATAATTTTTTATTGGCATTTCTAGTTTATTACAAGATTTACTTATATTATTCATTTTTTATACTTCTTAATATGATTTAAAAATATAATAAAAAAAATTTCAAAACTTATATTAAATCTTAAATAGTATCTAATTATTTAAAAATAGTTAATTACTTGATTATATAAAAGAATAGATTGATCTTCAAGTTATAATTAGAATTAATTTTTTTTTTTTTTAATCCCACAATCAGGTTGGTATTGTTTATTTATTAAATCATAAAGAATCATTACATGCATGAAAATACATGCAAAGTACAAATTTTCCTGACCCAACTCACCCATCTTTAGCCAAAGCCTTTAGATGCAATTTACAGGGGTGATGTATTGTTTCCCTAAAGAATGAGATTAAGATCCCAAATTTCCGATAGGATCAGCACCTACAGATCACCTTCACAATCATAACCATAAATCCAAATTGTGTCACTCCTCTCTTGTAGAAACTATATAAGGGGAAAAAGAAATAAAAAAAGAAATTTTTTAATAAAAAGAAAAAAAAAAAAAAGCTATCATCTATTCTAACTATCATTGAAAAGATTATCTCAGTAAACTTAAAACCCAAGCCCCTCATGGA